GTCTTAGAGAATATACATATTTTAACTTTCTAGTTTATGATAACTATAATCACTTGACCCGATTTTTGGGATATTATAATTCTTTTCTCAAAAAATTTCGTCCTCGAATTTAAAGAAATATCATATACGAAGAGGAGTGGAAATTGTTTCCTCATGTCCTCATCTCTTTCCCAAGTAGCTTCCTCTTCTATTCTATGGTTTTCCCAAAGTTCTTTAATTAGAGAAATCTTCTGGTTACGCAGTTCTTTGCTTTCTCGAGCCAAGATCCGCACTAGTTCTTTCTCGCAAGTCAGATCTGGTCGGATCTCTATTTCCTCTGTTGTGATAACATGGGATGTATCTGATTGGTACCTTCTAAGCATCGATACGTGAAAGACATCGTGGATCTTGTCTATATTCGGAGGCAAAACTAATTGATATGTTACTGGTCCGACCCTTTTTAAAATCTCATAAGGTCCAATGAGTCTCGGACTCAATTTTTCCTTTACACCCAAATCTCAATACTTTTTTCCAAGATGATACATTCAAAAACACCTTGTCTCCCACTTGAAAGTCAATTTCTTTTCTTTTGAAATCAACATAAGACTTTTGGTCGATCGTAGGTTATCTTTAGATTATCCCGAATAACTATCACTTTTTCTTTCATCAAATCAGGGCCAACTAGGTTTCGATCTTTTAGTTCAAACTAATTTAAGGGTGTTTGACAGTTCCTCACGTACAAAGCTTCATACGGAGCAAAATAAAGGTGCTTTCAATGCAGAGCAAAATAAAAGCCAAAGCAGCAAAAGCCAGTCAGAGTCTCAGAGAATATACATATTTTAACTTTCTGGTTTATGATGTAAGAAGGTGGTTAAGGGAATTAACACCGGAATGAGAGGTTGTGTTAATATAAAATTTTACTTCTCTTAGTAAAATTTTATAAATTTATCGTTATTTAAAATTTTATAAAATTATTTTTTCTTAATATAAAATTTTACATACTGATACAACAATTTCAAAGTAATAATTGCAGTTGAAATCAATATTGGAATTTCAGCTCCATAAAGAAAATGTTTGCCGTGAGTTTCATGGTGATATGAACCATAAGTTGACAGTCCACAGTAACTCATAAAGCTTTGCTTGGATTTGGGATGAGTGGGTGTGGATCCAATTCAGCAGTAGACGTTTCCCTGTTTTCACTCATAAATACCTTGTCCCTCTTGGGTGGAAGATTGGCTCTATAATAGCATAGGCAATGACCTTACTTTTGGACCCTTTAACTAGGATTACCCCCACAAGCTGCTTCAAAAGAGCTGTGCTTGGCCCAATGGAATTTTGGACTAACAAATCAACTGAATTAAACTTAATATCGACTGTTTTTGAATATTTTAAATTATTATATATTTTAATTTTTTTTTATTAATAATCTATTTTTTTTAAATTATATAATTTTTTCATTCTTAAAATTTTAGAAGTTCGTCCACTTTAACATAAAATTATGCTTATCCCTATTTTCACATGCAATTGAGATCGCCTTTTTTGTTTTCATTTTACAATGTTAAGCTCAATTAGAGTCAATTGTTTTGTCTATTAATAAAGTTAATTGGGTTAATTAAAAGAAAAAAAAGTTAAGCTAACTATTGGCATGCAAGTAGGGATGGGTGTGGGACCCGAACCTGACGGGTTCCGACCCGACCGGATCTGATCGAGTTGGTTTTTTTTTAAAAAATCGGGTTCAGGTCGGGATCGGGTTTAGGGTGAAAAATATCCGACTCGAAAAAAATATAATTTTACCTTATATATTTAGGAATAATTATAATAATACCCCTCTATATATTATTTTTTTCAATTAAGTCACTATTTTTATTGAATAAAAATATTTTTTTATTATTTCAGATCAAGTCGGGTTTTTAAGTTATATATCAGGTCGGGTGAAAACTTATTTTGGTCGAGTTGGGTCGGGTCTCAAGTGGAGGACTCATTATTCTCGAGTCGGGTCTGGTGGACCAAAAACCCGACCCATGCCCATCCCTACATGTAAGGGTCTTGCATCTTATAATCTAATTCTCCTCCAAAACTTGAATCAATGAACCGTCAAGACTAACTAACTTAAAAGTATATTGTTATCAATAAATATATATTATATTAAAAATACATTTAATTAAATAATTATTTTAATATTTTTAGTATTTTAGTTTCTAGCATTTTGTTTTAGGGTAAAAAAATCATAACATTTAGTTAAATAATTATTTTAGTTATTATTTTTTTATAAAGCATTTTAATCATTAATATTTCATTTTAAACTCATCAATTAGAGCATTGATTATTTATTTACGAACGATTTTTATCCACAAATAGACATATATGACACAAAATAAATAAAATGTTCTAAAAATAAAAATAAAAATTTAATTAGATTTTAAAATCAAACTTGAGAACTTTTTGTCATTACGCCAAATAAATACTGGTGGGGCATTAAAGGTTAAAGCACGCTCATTTGACTTAATTGCATGGCTGGAAGTTTTAGAATCCCACAACCACAATCTAGATTGACAAATGCTTCCACTATTATCTTTCTTAAAGTATTCAATGCAACTTGATCATTTAAAATCAAAATTCACAAATAAATGTGTTTATTCGTGACAATAAAAGTGGATTAAAGTTATCTATTAGTCCCTATATTATAAAATAAAGTACAGATTTAATTTAATAATTTTATTCTCTAATTTTTAATTTTAATTTTTAATTTTTCATTCGGAATTTAAATAATAAAATGAGATTTGTTAAGTTCAATCCATCTTATGGTTCTTGTATGAAGCTCGAGTTTAAATTTTAAATTTTATTTTTCAATTTAATCACTCTCCTCTAAATCTTTGCAACATAATAATATTGTACTTATATGTCAAAAATAAAATTTTAAAAATTGAAAATAAGGTAAACTATATAAATGGTCACTAAAGTATGAGTAATTCTTTTTGTATAATGAGAAAATTGACCTTAACATCTGCACAAATGGTTACGTTAATCTATATTCTTTTTCGACAGCATTTTAGTTTTAATATTTCAATTTTTTTTTCAAAAAAATTATGTTTGATAAAAATTATTAGTTAACTAACTATCACCACGTATAATTACATGTCATTTTCATATGTGTTTAATTATTGATGTGACATGTGATAATTTATTAAAATAATGATGTGACACATATCATGTCATCAAAATAATAATGTGACATGTATTGTATTCATAAAGTGATGACATGACATATATCACTTAATAGATGACATAATATATGTCATCGCATAAAAAAGAACGATATAATATATATCACGTCATTTAAAGTGATGATGTAATATGTATTCTGTCACCAATTAAGTACATATAAAAATATCATGTTGATAACATATGTTGATAATTAGTCAACTAATAGTTTCTATCCAACATGAAATATTTTGACCAAAAATTAAAATGTTAAATGATAAAATGTTAAAAAAAGAATTGAGCCATAATGACTGTTTGAATAAACGTTAGGAGTTAATTTTTTATTATATTTTTCTTAACATTAAAATTTTAAAAATAATAAAATGGATATCATTTTATAATAAATTAATTACTTAACAGCTAATCAAATTATTGCAATAATAAAAATATGATGTGACACGTTTGATTAATTAAGTTAATACAATTTGCTGACATTGACACCATGTGACCAGTCATTTTGACTCCCACTTAGAAAACATTAATCTCTTTCTTTTCAGACTAATAAATGCCATCTTCCGTTTCCTTAGTTGAAGGATAATATGCTAAAGAACGCCCGAAGAAGATCCTTCATCAATATCATCATCATCCATAATCTCAACATCCCTTAACTCCTTCAAATTATAATAATTATTCTTGCTTTTAATTTTCCTCCATTTTATTCCCAGTTACCGAGGATGACCGTTTTTTAATGTGAGAAAGCTGCCATGGTGGCCGGATATGAAGAACAGCTGGTGACGGGAGTGTGTGAATAAATGATGAACAGTTGAATGTTTGTTAGAGATTTGTTAAGATGAATATTGAGAGAGAAATATTAAATGTGTATTTTGAATTGTAGGAAGTTGCAATACATGGGTTAAAGTCTAATTTCAACTACTGGGTTTATATAACCCAAATCCATAACCAACCAACTATTAACAAATCTAACTAATTAACTAATTACAATTGACTCAATCTTATACTCTAAAATTCACCCTGGTTCTTCAAGTTCTTGATCTTCTTTGTAGTTGATTCTTGAATAAGAGATACAAACGAATTGTTGCAGTAAGGTGCTGATTCTCAACCAAGAAATGGAAAGAGTTGGTTCTTGATACAGAAATAAACTTTCTCTTCACTTAAAAGATCCATCCGTTTGAGACTTAACAACACATATACAAGGTTTTTGTTGGGGTTTTGACAGAGGACTCATATTGAAAAGGAAGGAAATAAGTTTTTAGGGTGAAAAGAATGGGAAAATGAAGGACGTCATTTCCTTCTCACCTTCAAAATCATTTTTTGATTCTTCAAATGTGACTGATCAAATGGTGTTAATTGAGTTGTTCAAATGTGTTACAATTTATGCAACTATAGTAACACAATGATCAATTGATTGATTTATTATAAAATAATAACGTTAATAATTGTTTTATTATTTTTTAAAATTTTACTGTTGAAAAAAAGGAAATTTGCTCATATTTAAGTAACATTTATATAGTTTACCCTTAAAAAAATAGGGAGAAAAACCATAATAGGATGGGGATTGACAAGGGACTTCGAGAAGAAAAGTGAAAGAAAAACTTTCTATTAATTTCGTCACGTGGAAAAGGGAAGCTTTCGCCTACAATACCAACATACCAACTAGTGGGGCAAAGCAGCCAAAACATTACCGTTTTAGCTCTTATGATTTTTACACGAAATCAAAACCGTCCAAACATCATCCCGTCATTTGGATTGCAGTTTAACAGCTAGGATATTTCAACAACAAAAAAATAAATAAATTATTCTCCTTCGTGAGTTGCATCACAGACAAAAGTGTAAACTCAGTTCACTAACTCCATCTCTGATACGTACTGCATAATCTCGGCGTCGTTCTCGAGACCCGCCATTGTTTCCGGCGCCAATACCACCTCCAAGTCAACGCTTCCATTTTCTTCCCTCCCGGGAAAAGCTGAGATCTTCCCATCAAACTTGTTGGCCCTACCACTCCTCACCGCCAAAGGTTTGCACCATCCGAAATCATTGTTAAACATCGGAAACCGAGGCGAACTTCCCATGGTGATCGAACCTCCGTCTGCGTTTCCCAACGGAAACAACCTCGGCTGCCGTTCCCAATCCTCCACACCGTGACGTACGGTTTCGTTATCGTGCGCCACCACGCTTTTGTGAAGCAGATTGGCGCTCCAGCTCAAGTCCTTAGCCAACAATTCACCCGCCGGAGCATAATTCGGAATACTCTGAATCGCGTTCCCGAAGTAGTACGGATTGAGCTTTGGGTCCAACCTGTGCCGGCAATTCACTGCCATCCTAAACGTTGTCGTTTTGATCGGCTCCAGTTTCCTCGCTCGTGTCACCGACCTCCAAAGCTGAGCGCAAAGAGATTGGAAAGATGAAATCTCGGTATTACTGCTAGCGGATTTCCAGTTGTCATTGCTGAGCTTCCCTAAAACTTCTGAATTTGTTTGTTTCGTTAACAAACAACCGCAGTTAGCTCTGTATTTAAGCTTTAAAATCGCTTCTCTGCTGAAATGAAAGATCCTCTCCCTTAATGGTTCGTCGCCGGAGAAAGTAACGGTGGGTCCTCCGGGAGGGAATTTAAGCACAGCTTGAGAATTAAATACTGTTTCACGACAGAAATCGGGGGTCTTCGATATTTTCGAAGCTCCTTTAGTGATCTCAGCGAAGGTGTTGAAAAAGTGCCAGAACGAAGTCCCATCGGTCACGGCGTGGTTCACCGAGCACCCAATAAAAACCCCATCGACCAACTCCGTCACCTGAACCGCAGCTAACGGCTTGAAGTGACCGGAGTAACTAAGCGTCTTGTCAAAAGTGAAGAACTCCTTGACGCAATCGGGAACATCACCGGGGCACAAAATGTCGCTGACGGAAAGCGTAGGGGATTTCACCACGAGAAAATCAATGCCGGCGTCATTGCAGTCGATGTGCACGTGGCCTTCGGGCTCGGTTATCAGCCGACCGGCCAAAGGAGGGAAGTAAGAGAGAGTAGTAGAAAGAGATTGCTGAAGAAAAACCACAAGGTCGTCGAAGGAGAAAGGAGGAGCCGTCAGCAAAACACCCTTTTGAATGTAATGACAAGACAGCATGGGGATATCCGAAACCGAGAGCTTCAATGTTTCGACATGAGGTTTCTTGTCTGGGAAAATCATGCAGTTGGAAACCAGATTAGCTAAAGAAGAAGGCATGGTAATTGCTGAAATTAAAAAAAGAAGTTTTTTTTTCAAGAACAGAAGTGGAGTGAGGAAAATGGACGAGGGGAATGAGTTTATATAGGGAAATGGGTTCATGAACTTGGTGTGTAGTTTGGTGGGGGTTGGTTGTTTATTTGTGCTGTATCCTCAGTATAATCCATTACTTATTGTTTATTTGCTTATAATTTTCTGGAACAGAAACAGATGATGAACAGAGAGGAACGTACGTGGCAAGAGAGCAGGGAACTTTGGAACAGGTTGATGAAATTCACGTTAAAGTTTGAGCTATGGCACTTGTAAAATATCCAGTTCCTGAAGTTCATGGAAAATCAGATTCAGATCCTGTGTGAAAAAAGCTGCTGTTTTTCTCGTGACTTGCCTCCATAACGTGAGGATTCAGAAACACAACCAGTTTCCTAGGATGTTCTTTCACAAGGTGATAATGTTTATCCACCCTCTGTTAAGTTTGTTAAGCAAACTCTGGTTCTTTCTATTACAGCCTAGTCTTGGATTTATTAATAACCGCCATCTTGTCTTGTATTTACACTTACTAGTGATTAAGTACTGACATCTCTGATTAAAAACCATTTAAGTACTCCTTAATTATTAAAATCAATCATTTTGTCGGTTAGAGATTTAGTTAAATATTTATTTATTTATTTTCAAAATATCATACTCCTCCCATGTTCTGCCCCGTTAATTTTTTTTATAATTTTGAAATTATTTGATTTAAAATATTTTATTAAAAACGTCAATAAATAATAATACTAAATTTTTTTATTTTTTTATATTTCATTCTTTTACTATTATCAAAATAGATTTGTCAAACCTATCACTCATTTTTCGAGATAATCTTTCTTATTTTCCTTTTTTATATGACTTGAAATATAATCGAATTTATTTATTAAAACTATATGCTTAGCCTGTACAAAACAAAAATAGCAAGACGCGCGGACTACATACTACAAAAATAGCAAAACGGACTACATACTACAACAACAATTCTGAGTTGGGATCAAGATAAAGGAAAAAGGAATTTGGGGTTATAGTTTAAAAATTTTCATAATTAAATTGTTAATTCTAGAGAATGACCAATTATGTAATTCTTTTATCAATTAAAGGGGTAATAAAATTAACAATCAGCTGGTCTAGTGTGATGAAAATATTAGATTTCTTAAGTAAGGTCATGAGTTCAAACCTTAACGTTTGTGAATGGAGTAAATTGGGTTAGAAGGGTCGCCCTTGTCTCTGCAGCACCCGATCTAGATAAGTCGGTCGATAGATCGGATCTCAATGATTAATTCAAAGGGTTAATAAAGAATACTTCATTTTTGAAGGACTAACACATATGTGATATTAATTATTTATATATAATTAAATAGTTAAGTGAACATGAACCCTCTTAATTCACATTAAAATAAAAATAAAAGATCACCTAAAGGAAATGAATAGAAAAATAGAATAGTTAATTCCCTCGTCATCTAACCAACTAATTGATCAATTTTTGGAACATGTTGGTAGGGAAATGTTATGTTATCTAGCTGTTTTGTTCTGCTAGTTTATTTGTATAATTGAATAAGTGCATGAAAGAGGTGGAAGAATGAATATGCTCTATGGCTAGATTATCACTTGTCACTAGCAAAGAAGAAAATTGATTTTCAAATGATTATTATTTTAAAAATGGATATTTAATAAGTTTAAATTTAATATATTATTAAACAATTTAAAATGCAATGTTTTAATATAAAAATGATTTTATGAGTAAATAATTATTATATATAATGTTAAAAATATGTTAGGAAGTTGAAAGCAGAAAATAGTGAAATCAAAGTAATAAGATATATACATGAGACGTGATCTAACGTGGTTCAATCTTATATACTTTCACGAATAAAAAAAATAATGATCTATTATAAACGTAGAGATCACAAAGATACGAATACAAGTCAAATTTCACATTAAATTTATCATATTTTGGTATTGATTTATTTCATAAATAGGTATCTCAAAAATGTTATTTTTTCATCTAAATATTTAAAAAAGTATATTATTATTTTTATTTTAGTACTTCATGTTTCTTTTATCAGAGTTGGTATCTAAAGTATGCCACCTTTTTTTTTTATCTAGATATTAAAACTAGTTTTTTTAGTTAAAATAGATACTTAAAATATACTATCTTTTTCATCTAGGCACCTAAAGTTAACATGCCATATTGATTAAAAAATACTTTAGGCACCTAGATGAAAAATGAGAACACTTTAAGTACTTACTTTGATCAAATGAATATTTTAGATACCTAGATAAAAAGATAATTTACTATAAGTATTTTTTTTATTTAAGCCTTTGGTATTAAAAATAACAATATGATGGTTTATCAATTCGACAATTTCTAGATATTTTTATGTCTTTTTCATATAACATGTTTGGAATTTATGATAATCTCTCTTATTAATATCATCTTTAAAATTTAAATATTTTTTGTCTCGTTTAAAATACACTGTCTGGAGTTTATAAATTAAGTGGTTATTCTTGTCATTATTTTCACTCATCACGAAGTGAAATTTGGAATCTCAAATAATCTCAATAGTTAAAGAGAGTATTGTTTTTCCTAAAAGTTTTTGGCTTGAATAGTTATGTCTGTAGGGTGTATGTTGTCAATGATTAAAAGAGATTTTGACAAATACTACTTTATAATCACCCAGACTATTAAGAAAAAGATGTGAAATCTTCAAAGAATGTCATTTTCTTTCTTGGAAAAACACAACAAGAAGTTGGCTTAATTTGAGGGAGACATCGAGTAAATTACAACAAAGAGAAAGGGCTTAATAAGTGGGACACGTACAGATGGATATGTTATGTATACGGTTCTTATTGTGAATCAAAGAGGATATCTTAAAGAAATCGATGAAAAAACAAACACTAAACAATCTAATGTGACATATCATGCCTCCCTAGCTAGTGTTACAGATAAGGACCTTAGATGTCTGCTGTTGTTTACTAAGCCATTTTGAGAGAAGGGACCTACAAAATTTAATTGCACTTCCTGTCAATGGTGGCATATCCTCGTGCAGGTTCCCCCTTCCCACCAAGAGTGATACAAATTAAAAGACATGTAGATTCTTTCTTTTTCTTTATTTTAAAAACTCCATACAAGTTCAAATATGCGTATTATACCATAAATAATACATGCACTATCTCGAAAACTATATCTAGTACAGGTTAATTAAATTCCAAAATCCAACTATCATTAAACAAAGTCTGTTTTACTTTTTCTTAATTGGATAAGATTCCAGGGAGTCCATAGATCATCCAATGTGCTGGGCAGCTTTATTATGTGCTTATGGGCAGCTTTATTCGTTGACGAATAATTTGGACAGAGACAGTGCTGACAAAAAAGCATTAAGATGGAGATGCTTTCCAGTGCTGCAGAAATAACTGTCAACTAATTAATCCTGGTCTTTACTGATTAATTTAATTTTTAATTGTTCTCAAGGTAGTGACCACATAATTATTGGAATTCTTATGCTTATTTGTTCGTGGTGCATGTTTGATGCTCTAACAGGTAGAGAGTAACAATATCTGTTAACAGGTACTACCTAAAATACAAAAAGAATACAGATTCAAAGATGAAATGTATCTCATGCCGACGTCATAAGCTGTGGTGATTTCCCTTTCCTAGGTACCCCGTGTTGTCGACGCTAGCGAACAAAGTGGCTTACCTTTTCCATGGCGCATTGAGAATGACCACAAACTAACACCTTCGTCATATCACTTTCTGAATTCATTTGACTCAAAAAGTTGAAAGTTGTTAACCCACTTTTCCATTTGAAATGAAATGCTATTTCGAGGGACAAGCTATGAAGGATTACATGTGCCTAGTCTCTCGTACACCCTGTGAAAACAGGATTCACCGACTTCGGATGTAGCCATTTTATTTAAGAATTGATGTACAAATCCATGATTAAACTCAACCTAATCTAAAACCAACCGAACTCACAAATAGGTTGGTCATAACTGTCAAAAGTTGTGTGGAGTGGAGTTTCTTTGGTTTGAGGGTTGGCCACGTATGGGAATCACGTTCCCAACATGTATGGTTTTACGTTAGCAGCAGCTTGGCCCATTGCAACCAACTGGATGCGGTTTCCAAGTGTTGGTCAAGGTTTCCAAGTGTAAGTCAAACTTGTAGGTGCCATAAGTGACAATAGGAGAAATTGATTGTCAAACTAACAACCCAATTGACGGTGTATCTTTTGCTGAAAATAAGGAAAACCAATTAAATGAATTAGTCAAACTTGAAGGTGCCATAAATGGCAATAAGAGAAATTGGTTGCCAAGCCAACAACCCAATTGGCGTTGCATCTTTTGTTGAAAATAAGGAAAACGAATTAAATGAATTAGTTGATATAAATAGAATAGGGGGCTTCTGCATCTATAAATAGCTCACCCCAACAGGTTCTTAATCAATCAAGAGAGAAACACAAAAGAAAAGCTTAGAGAGAAAAGCTTTAGTGAGAGAAAATTGAGAGCAATTTTTAGGGTGTAATTGGGTTGTGAGTGTTTTTTGTAAACACCTGTAAATTTTCTTCCTTTAGTAAAAGATATGCAGCAGTCCGGAGACGTAGACATATGATAAGTGCTTAATTTAGTTAATATTTTACTTTTAAATTACTCTTTAATCATTGATTTTTGTGGCTTATTTGTTCATTTTAATTCATTTTCTGTAGAGGACGTAAGATTATGAAAATTGCACAAAAAGGACACAATTATGCAGATTTTTTATTTTCGGAATCAAAGCTGGCTGGAATTCGAATTTGGATTAAACTCAAATTTAGGATAATATTTTAAACATTATATTTTATATTTTAATTAAGTTTAGGATATTATTTTTATATTTTATATTTATCTTTGTATTTTAGTTTAAATAGGTTTTTAGTATTTTAATTAAGTTTTAGGATATTATTTTTATATTTTATATTTATCTTTGTATTTTAGTTTAAATAGGTTTTAGTATTTTAATTAGGATTTAGAATATTATATTATTTTTAGGTATTTTAGTTTAAATAGTTTTAAGT